TGCTTGTTTTCTTGAATATCAATATGATCTCACAGTTTGGAGACAGACTTGACAAGCAGTCTGTTGGTCAAACCGTAGGAGGAAAGTAATTGAAGAGACAATTGCTGTAAAGCTGCTTTATCTCAAATTTGTTTTTAAAATGACAACACGATGTTACTATTTTTTAGGACTACACCAAGCTGTATGATAATGCCTTCTTGTGGTAACCAGTATTTTCATTGTTCTGTTGGACCTTTGAAATAGGTAATGGTTACAGTATGGGCACAGTACCCCAATGTGAGGCAGTAGGTGTGGCTGCTACCATGCTAGTTATTGTCTCAAACCCTGGGATTTGTAGTCTAAACATATTTTTTCCCTTTCTTTTCAGATCACAGTGCCTGTGATTTAAGTACATCTCAGATTGACAGCACTCTGGAGTATGTTTAGATTCTCCAGGTCATGCCCAAGACTTGCTTCAGGATACGTGGCTGTGAAGATCAAAATGACAGTTGTGTTTTCTTCTTTTTCTTAGCATTATAGTCAGTGGAGCTGGAATTCCAAGTTCCTGACTGCTGCTGCTGCCTGTAGGATTTTTAGAATGGCTGCAGAGCACTCAGAAGTCATAGCAGAAATAGCTTGTCTTCCTGAATACCAGTGTTTCTGAAGCCTAGGGACAATGATATGAAGGCTTTTATTAAAAAAAAAAAGTCAAAGAACAAGATAACATAATCAACCATTGTACTAAACGATATAATTTAAAAGCATAAAAATGCTAAAATGGCATTGTTTTCAGGTTTGTGGAGGAGACACTGTTATTGGCAAAACTTCCCTAAGTGCTACTTAGCCAAAGTGTGAGTTGAGCAGTGTTCATCTGGAGACTTGGTATGTTTTGGAGCTAGTAGGAGTTGCTGTTGGTCATCTGAATTAATATTTTCGTTGCAAACGGTACTGAGAGTTCAGATTCACTTCTTTGTGTGGGTTTCTATTAACAGTACTTCTCAAGGCTGATGGAATTTTCTAGGATACCTGGAAACTTTTCCTGGCCCCTGGATGATAGGTATTTGGCTATTAGATCTTTATACCATAGATGTTTCCAGCAGCAAAATATACCCTACTTTTATACCCTTTTATACCCTATATCCTAAAATGAGGATCTCATAAGAGAATACAGGGTATCTTGATGATATTTGTAATTAAAGAAAGACTTCTTCAAAGTTGCCTTGCAGCTGTTGTAGGTTTTTGTGCTACCTCACCTTTCTAATTGGCTGTCATTGTTAGGCAGTAAGTGTGATTAGAAGAATGATGCAGGTTTTTCAGGCAAATTCCTGATATATTTTTCTGTGTCTGTTTCAATGTAGCTGTGCTCTCCTACCTAATATAGAATGAGGGTAGCTGCTGGCTGCTAACTCCGTGGGTTTTCATGTTTGGCACTTTTGGAAGCTGGGCTCATCGTTTACCCAATTCTAAAGAGGTTCCTTCCTCTAGAAACTACCGTGTTTAAAGAAAATGTACTTAAATTTGCATGATGTTTATTGTAGCAAATACTGATTTCATATTTTCCTAAAAAAACAACAAAAAAAGTTGGCTTTACCCTTTGAATTTAAAAAGGGCAAAGAAACTCTGGAAATTTCCAAACTCTCCCTCCCACGAATCCCAGTCTCCTGGAACTGATTCTATTCATTTTCACTAGTTTGATGTGAAATATATCCACAATGACAATAGTGATGAATGCAGATACCACAAGACTCTGTCCAGGTTTTATTTTAAAGCCTTATATACTTACAGAGATTTTAAGCACCTACAGATTTTATACCTGATAGAAAATTACCATTAAAGTTTAATACTGTGGTAAAAGTAAATCCTAGGGATTTGCTGGAGCCTCCTGGAGTTTAAGCTATGAAGAATTAGAATAAAATAGCTATGTGTCTTACAACCCATAAGAAAAATAATTGACAAAATAAGAACTACATTCTGAGACAATTTCTTTGCTAGGTTTTGCTTTGCTTTTCTTATCTAACCTTTTTTTCAAAGGAGAATCTGGTCTCTTTAAGTAGAATGTGCAGGATGTACTTCAGTTAATTCTCTTCTTTCCCTTTCAGTTTGTTTTAGATTGAAGAGCTATTTCCCTTCCCCACAAGGTTCTGTCATACATCTGTGCCTCCAGCCAGGAAAATCTGCTTAGGGCTCCCCAGTAGTGAGGATGGGATCTCTTTATTGGCCAGAGGACTGGAGCCCAGGGTAGCCCATCTCTCCACCTGAGGGTGGTAATGTATTCCCAGCACCACTCTCTGCATCTGCTGAACAGACAGGCATGAAGCCATGTTTTATAATGGGCTCATACAGGCTCCTTTTCGGGCAGTGGTCTGGCCTTTTCTTTGTCACCCAAGGAGAACATGCCAGAAGGGACGTGGTGCTGTTGTGCTGTTTAATAATGTGAGGTTCAAAGACAGCAGTTTTGCATGTTTATAGATTAAAGATAATATAACTCAAATATAGCAACAGGGCATTCTGAATATTCTAAGTAATGTGGAGTAACGAACATGCTAGGAGAGTTATATTGTTAAATGACTGTGAATTACAGGCTATTTGATGATTTTATTCTCATTCCTGGAGGGCTACATTAGGTCAGGAGGAGCAGATGGAAACTTTTTGCTGGGACACAGTTACTTGACAGCTTCCTTCTGCATTGTGTAAAGACTCCATTGGCAGATTTTCTAAATTGCCAGGGAGATGTAACTCTCTCTTCTGTCTGCTTTTCCTCCACTGTCTTATGGTGGCAGTGCTATGAATGTAATCCTTTCTAGTTTCTTAATCTTTAAGAGGTGTTTCTTAGTTATCTTTTACAATTTCTAAGAGACCTATTACTTTTAGCTGAGGCTTGAAAGGGAACATTTACCAAGAGGAGTTCAGTCCTCAAACAGCTCCACTCAGGTGACTCCCTGCCTCCCATTCTTTCACTTTGGTCCTTGGCAGCTCAGGCACTCGTGGTGATTTGCAGGTTTTCCACCAATTTTTCTTTGTATCCTTGATTCCACAATGTTTGATTGCAAATGACCAACTTGACTAAACTTAACTGCAACACGTATATATTAATCCAACCCAGGTGAAACTGAGGAAGTGGTTTTCCTCTGGCTGCTGCTCTGCACTGCAGCTTGCACAGGGCAGAGGGGTGAATTTTATCAAGGGACAGGATCACAGCATGCAGATGCACAGATGTCCCATCCAGGCCTCAGTTTGCCTCTGGTGCTCCCAGGCTTTAAGCAAATTGTTTCAGCTCACTAGTAAAAAACATCCAGCTAAAATATCCTAAGTAGCAAATATACACTTAAAGAAAACAATTTAAATGCCAGAGATTGCTGTCTGTGGGTAATTATTCAGTCTAAAACAAATAACCCAGAGGTTACAAATAATAATTTTGCTAAAAAATACTATCATGCATTATTAAATATCTACATTATTAGATTATGATAAAGTAAGAAAAGGTCTAAATTCTGTTTGTTCTGTTGTAGTACTTCTCAAAGAGAGTAAGTTCCAAATTTCTTCCTGGGGAAGAATGGGGATTCATATGCCAAATGGTGACCTGGATTGGCATATTTTTTAATGTGGGATTTATGTACCTGTGAAAATATGGGTGTATGATAGAAAGCCTGACAGACCCTTTAACTATGGTGTCACTAATACATTGATATAATTTGTTACCTCAGCAAAGGTGTTTTGCCTCAAGAGGTGGAATACTTTTATATATGGAAAGGTCACTTTTAATTAATAAGCTGTTTTCATCATTCAAGGGCAATATGAATTGCTTGTAACATTTGTGTGAAATAGTTTTCAATATAAAAATAAAACAAATTGAGCTTTATGTCACATTTATCATCCTCCATAACCCATTTAAATGTCAAAAAAATCAGTACAGACCAAAAGTCTATTTCTAGAACCTTAGTAGCCCTATTTATCAGAGTGAAATAAGATATTATCATCCCATTATCCCATCACATGCCTTCTGCACTTGAAGCCATACCATTTCTTCATTTTCTATAATACAGAAGATAGTTTTTCTGTTGTTAAATATTCCTTGTCCAAGCAGTAAGTAGTGAAGAATGTACTGAGTGTTTCTTACACTATAATATGAATGCATGATATAATATACAATTATTTACTTTCTTCTATATATTTCAAATTAAAAAAAAAGTTTTCTATCGCTGTTTGGAAACAAATATTTTGCAGACTGCAATTTGTTAATATAATTTTACCATAAGGATAAAGCTTTCAGTGTATTCACTACTGATATATTTTAACAAAAGTCATGCCATTGTGTGGAAAATTTATGTCCTTATATATTTTACCATTAAATAAATGCCACATTAAAAAAAAAAGTGTTAATTCAAGTTCTTTTCCTGAGTTTTGGTTCCTAACAAAGAGGACTCAGATAATCACATGGCTCCATGGGTGTATGTCTTTTCCTCCTAGTAATTCTAAAATTTCAAATATGAGTGGGACTGAACAGTCTCAAAGGTTCTAAGTTTATTTAAGATGCAGGAAAATAGGCAGCAGGATACAGGAGAAAGATCCCATAAATGCTGGCAGAGAGGAAGATCCTTCTGAGGGCTGTGATAAAGAAGCTGATAAAGGAGTTCAATTGCAGGGAATCCAGCAGGATCTAGAGCTAGAGAGTTCCTGTTGAAAGAAGTAGATCCAGCTGAATAGCAGACTAATGCAGATGAGAAGGCTCAGCCTCTATGACCTTCAGGTCATAAACATGCAAGAAACCAGGCTGGGTGGTTTGTTCCTTAGAGAGGCTTTGACAGATAATGCCATTATTATATCCAAATTCTTATATCCACTTTGAAAAGAAAGAATTCATTTACTAGTGCAGATGTTGAATGGTGCAAATTTTATTTTATGTAGAAATGCATGGCGGAGTAGCCTTTTACTGTTTTTTTATATATATAGATATATATATTTATATATATAGATATATTTTTAATGTGCTCATGGTGGTTTTTTCACTTTTACTGCAACAGGCAGTGCCATCAGAAGTGATGATATCATAGCAGGGAACGTGAGCAAGTACATTGTTCTCCCAGCTGGTTACTGCGGACAGCCTAAAAAAGGACATCTTATATTTGATGCCTGTTTTGAAAGTGGTGAGTATTTTCAGCATTATGCTCCTAGTTTTCAATATATTAAAACTTTAAACTCTATCACTCATCTTTTTATAAAGTGTCATTATTCTATAGAAAACTCAAATACTACTTAACAAATTTAGCTGATTCCATCACTCACAGTATGACTTCAAATCAGACTTCAAATGTCAAAAAGGTTGTGAAGTTTGCTGTTGCCTACAGTAAAAATTTCATCAGGTCCCTCTTTAACCACATGTGGATACATAACTGGATTTTATTCTGTCATTATTTATGTGGTAGTATTTATGTATTTATGATGTAGTATTTAAAATATGCTATTTAAAGATTTAATTTAGAACTTTACTGGGGCATTTAACCCAGTAAAGTGCCAAGCCCATCCTTGCATAATTAGAGAATTTTACAAATGTGTATGTGCTGTCTTTAAATATATTACTTTGGGTTTCTTGTGGCCTGATCCTATATTGTTGAGGTTAATGGCAGTTCTGCCTCTGATCTCAATAGGAGAATTAAACTTTAGGAAGCTACTGGAAACTGAAAGAGAAGTATTTTTTACAAGAGTTATAGTTAGCATATTAATTTAAAGAGTAATTTTAATTGCTTATATGCATGTAGGATATGTAGGTAAATATATCCATGAAAATGTAGCTTTGTTTAAATTTTTGTGTTGCATACATGTGTGCTACCAGATTTTTAGCTTAAATCTATTATTACTGGCTTTCAGATCAACAGAGCACTGTTAAACACCACATGTAGAAAAGGCATTTGGCAGGATAAACTATAGTTTTCAGCATGGTTTATGTGAGAGGTGCTGGTAATGCCAAAACTGCTCCAGTGTCTTGTAAAATGAGCTTTTTATGAAGAGTTACGTCCCTCAGGGTAGAATACTGGCTGCCAGTTCCTGGAAAAATATTAAATTGAGTTATTTAAATCTTGTGATCACATTATGTAAAAAGTGCAAATGATGCAGTGAATAATAAAGAGTATCTTTTTTTAAGGTGTGTCTCTGAAGGTTCAGACAATGGTTTCGTATTTTTAAAAATACTTTGGGTGCTATTTCATAATAGTTATGTGGGTTTTTTGCATTTTTGTAACAGAAAATGTCTTACGAAATGAATCATGGCCAAGCTGGGAAATTTACTTTATTGTGCTCAACTTCTCTGCAATGAAAAAGATCAGTAGCAGTCATCAAATTATTTGTGAAGTATTGTGAGTCATTGCATGATGGTTTAATTCCAGTTTTTGAACAATGGTATTAATTATATTTTTAAATTAAAACATTTATTCAGTTCAAAGGTAATGTTCATACTTTATATACTTGGGTAATAATAGAATGTGATAGAAGCAGGTGCTATTTGAAATACTGTGTTTATTTACATTGTGGCATGATGAGGCTGTGATGTTGCTTTGCATATTCAGACGCTTCCAAAACACAAATATGAATGAAATTAATACCTTCATTTACTTCCTCATGATGACAATGTATTAGCAAGAATGAGAGTAATATTGTGTACACTTCATATGTAGATTCACTTCATCTTTTGTTCTATGTCAGCCAAGTAATTGCTTAGAGTACCTTTACTGGTCAAAGCAAATTAACTGATATTGGGTTACTTATGAAATTGTTATTCATGTTGAAATCTATCCCATCCTATTGTCCAAACAGTAGGATAAAACATTTATGAATTGTTTTGATGCTCTTTGAGTACCACCTTAAACATAAAATCCTGTTGAAATTGCCTTTTTCAAAGAAGAGATGGTAAAACTGACCCCACCTGCAGTACTGCCCCCAGCCCTGGGGTCCCCACTACAAGAAACACAAGGACCTGCTGGAGGGGCCCAGAGGAGACCATGAAGATGCTCCAAGGGCTGGAGCACCTTTCCTATGGAAACAGCTGGGAATACTGGGCTTGTCCAGCCTGCAGAAGAGAAGGCTCTGGGGAGGCCTTTTTGTGGCCTCTCACTATGTAAAGGGGGCCTATAAAACAGCTGGAAAAAGACTTTTACCCAAGCCTGTGGGGACAGGGCAGGGAGAAAGGGGTTTAAACTGAGAGGGGGCAGGTTTAGGTTGGCTATGAGGAAGAAATTGTTTACAATGAGGCTGGTGAGGCACAGGGTGCCCAGAGAAGCTGTGGCTGCCCCATCCCTGCAAGTGTTCAAGGCCAGGTTGGGCAGGGCTCTGAGCAACCTGGGACAGTGGAAGGTGGCTCTGTCCCAGACAGGGAGTTGGAACAAAATTATATTTATGATCCATTCCAATCCAAGCCATTCAATGATTCCAAAATATAAGTTGTGTTAAATGTAATTCCATAAGTGGCTTTTCTTTCTTTGACTGCATTCTCTATTTTCTTGAAAGGTCTGGTTGATAGAACTGAAGGTTTCCTACTAAACCTATTTTTCAATGACTATGTTTTATATTGTAGAAATGGAAGTAAATAGATTTCAGAATAGAGAAGGGGTATTAAACTTGTAAAAATCAGGAAAAATATTAATACATACAGAAGAAATGCTATTTAATGCAGTTTCATTTTTGTAATTGCTATCATTATTGTATTAAATAGCATTGAAAAGTATGAATTTGTTTGAGACAGAGGTGTGTTTTTATGTAGGCTGAAAACCAATGTCCAGCTTGTTGTTTTGAAGTGCTGTGCTTTCAAAAACTCTTAAAAAATATAATGGGCATTGGGATTTCTTTTTAGTCCATTCTGTTGTTGAGAGGCAAAATAAACTATTTTGCCATTCCTAAAAGATGTTTATCTTTTTCAGACACTTTCAGTGAGTTTCAATGAGAAAGCAGCAATTCATTCTAACACTGCAATTTGCTCAATATAAGAAACATTTTCTTTCTATGTAGAAATGTTCTTACCAAAAAGGCATTAATTCTTGTCCAGTCCTATGGGCACAGAAAGCAGATTATTCCTTTCTTCTTTGACTTAATGGAAAGCTGCTATCATATCTTTCCTTGGCCTTTTCCTCCTCAGGTTAAATAACTGCTATTTTTTTCAATAGGTCCTTAGTGCCCACATTTTCCAAATTTTCTCTCATTCTTTATTTCCTCTGGCCTATCTCCAGCTGTTTTGTGCCTTTCTTGATTGGCAGTGGTCCAAGGTGAGCATGATACTCAGATAAGCTGGTGCCAATCCTATGTAGAGTTTATTACATGACATGCCTTGCAATCTATTTACTTCTGCAGTGTGACAGTCCAATCTTTGTCACAATAGCATGGTGCAGCTGACTTCTATAAAACTTGTGGACCCTTAGACTGTCCAGATCCTTTTCAGAAGGAGGTGGCTTGCACTTTACTTACCCTTAATGACTCTATTAGTAGGGAAAAAATTATTGCTGTAAAATAAATGCAATTATTGAAAATGAAGAATGGTGCCCGAGCCCTTTATCATATTAATAACTGATAGAGAAGTAAAGAAGAGTGAGAATGGTCAACTTGCAAATATGTTGGGAATTTCTATTTCCCATAGTTCAAGCTAATGTTCTGCTTGGAATCTTCCTTGTTATCCTTATTAATATTTAAGATTATATACAGCCAAAAGAAACTTTTAACATTGATTTATCATTAGCATAAAAGAAACTGATGAAAATTCAGATTTATTGCATACCACACCATACTTTTTGGATTATTTTAGTTTTCACAAGAAACTTGAGTTAATTTCAGGGGAAAATGGAAGCACAGCTACCTATGCACAATAGAAATTTAAAGGAAATAAATGCCACATCTGAAATGTATCCATTTGGTCAGTTGTAATTTTGTTTCCTAATATTCATTAATGCATTAAATTATTAACACAGTTTCAGTTTAACATCAATGCACAATTGTACAAATGTTCACCTCTCATCCTACCTACTGTTCTGTTAAAATTACATTTTGTAAAATATAGTGTTTTGGGTAAAATGATGTATTCATTTCTGTTATGCAAAGAAGTCCTTCCTGATTGAGGAAGGCCCAGATTTTGATATGAACATGTTCTTCAGGGAATCTAGCATTTCATACTCAAGGTGAGTTGGTATTTCAGACATTTTATCTTAAGGACTTCAAAGTTTAGTTTAGCCAGCTGCCCATACTGTCTTGTGTTGCCTTAGTGCTTGTGATTTCTGATGGCACACGTTAAGTCAGCAGCCTATTCTGTATTGTGGCTAAGAGCTGTTTTATCTGCTTAGTCATTTTAACTGTAAGAGATGTTTTTGGAGATGATACTTTCAGTACTGGAAGCCAGTTATTTTTCTGGAAGCTTACATATCTGCAGTAGCTCTGCTTCTGCATGAGGTCACAAATTTTTAGTCAATTTAACATGATACATGAGAAGCTTTTTATATGTCTTTTGCAAAGTGAACAAAGAAAACATAAACCAAATGACTCAGCCCTTAAAAAAAACCCCAACTTTTTTCTCATTGTGCAAAGGCTGTTTGCTGGGTGTAGCCACAAGTTGCCTTCCTGGCTCCATCACAGAGTGATTCTGAGTTATGTTCTGGTTGTTCTCCAGCTTTTGCCTCCCTGGGCTCTGCACGAAGAGAACTGGCAATGAAAAACAGGCTGACACTGCCAGGTGTGTCTTTGCTGCAGAAAATGCTGGGGAAGTTGCAGTGTTGTTCCTTCTGCCTGGTGTCACTGGGTTGCCAGTCCCCAGGGATGTGTTGGTTGGTGGCTCTGCCTTGTGTACTCCGGGGTGCAGCCCAGTGCTGGTGGTGGCCTGGCATGTCACAGGGAATATGGGAGGCAGCTGGAGTCAGGCTGCAGACTGGGATGTGTTGTGAGGATGGTTATAAACCCCAAGCTCGACAGTTTCTGCTGCTTGTGGCTCAAATTGCTTGTTTTATAATTACTTTTGAGAATTGAAGGAGCAGTGTTGGCTCACAGAGGTTCGTAAATCTCAGCATTCACACTGTTAAATACAGGGGCTTTTAATAAGGCTTTGAAAATATATATTTTGGCTTGTTAGTCAAATATAATGCTGTTTAACTGTTAAAAAATACTGTGTTTCTTGAAATTA